GAAGAATCCCAAAGATGGAATAAGTCCATCCACCAGCAGAAAACCATTCCAGAAGACAAAGTCTGCAGATACTAGTGGAGAGCTTTTCTGTTACAACTGCAGATAGCCAGGACATTTCAAGGCAGATTGTCCACATCCAAGAGTGTCCAAAAGACAAGGACATGATGGAGAGAAGAAGAAATAAGAAGACAATACTAGAAGGAGGAAAGCACTTGTCACAGAACACCTTGAGAAAGATCCCCTTTCTGAGACAGAATCCAGTTCTGATTCTCATTCTGATGAGGCCTTCTGTTGCCTGGATACTGAAACAGAAGACCTATGCCTCATGGCCCATTCTGATGATGAGGTAACCTCTACTTCTAAATCTAGTTTTTCTTCAGTAGGCTTAGCATTCAATTCTGATCCAATGTCAGAATTTAAGGAAGAGTTTAAAGTCATCCAAACCAATTACTCTTCTGTCAAAGAAGAAAACAGTAGGTTGAAGGTTGAGAATCTTGATTTAAGAAAGGAGGTTGAGATCAAAATCAACCTCCTCATTAAAGAAAGAGATCAACTGGAAGATGAAAAATGTTTCTCTTCTAAAGAAAGTAAGGGAAATAGAGTCAGTTGAGATCAAGTACAACACCTACCAGAAGGCCCAGTCTTCAAAGGAAAGGTTACTACTTGACCAAGAGATTGGCGTTGGTTTTGGTCTTGGATATGGCTCAACAGAATCAGGTGAGCCTTCTGTAATGCCTAGCACCAGTGTTGCTAAGGCAGACAAGGTCATAGTGCCACTGATTTCTAGCCCCATTTCCCATGCTGGTGTATATGGCACCAAAGTTATTCATGAGGAAGTCAGACCAGAAAAAGGAAAGATAAAGGTTCAACAGAAACCCATTTCGAAAATTAATGAACCTGGCAGAAAACCTAACAACAGAAAAGGTTTTCAGAAAAATCAAAGACAAAACCCCAACAGACAACCTCATGATAACCGTGCTAGAAATGATCACCAGAAGGGCAGGTATCAAGAGAAAGTTAACTTCAGGCAGAAGAGGTTGGATGGTCAACTTCAAAAGCCCAAAGCTCAACGCCCCTCTGCTCTTCATAGCATATGGGACTTCTTTCCAACCAAGAAAGCCATGCAAAAATATGTAAACAGGAAGCATGACCCTCACAAGCATCTGCCCAAAGTGAATCACACTTCGGTTTACTATGACTACTAGGTGGACAATGGGTACCACCCACCAAGGTTTCACTTGATGAGACCAAAATGGTACCAACTACCCAGACTCCATGACCCCCCATGACCCACCATTGTTTGGGTACCTAAATCCTTCTTTTGATCATGCAGGAACTGTGTGCTAGAGCTATTTCTGAGCAAGAATGGTTTATTGATAGTGGATGCTCCAGGCACATGACAAGTGACAGAAGTTGCCTAACAGAGTTCCAGAAATGCAAAGGACCTAGAGTTACCTTTGGAGGTAATGATAAAGAAGGTCAAACAAAAAGAAGAGGGAAGCTGATCAAGAACCAGATAGTCATTGATGATGTCTCTTATGTCAAAGGCTTGAAGTTCAATCTTCTTAGTGCTAGCCAGTTTTGTGACAAAGGCTACACTGTTGAATTCACAAAGGACTTCTGCTATGTGAAGCATGAGACAACAAAAGAAGTGGTTCTTACAGCAACAAGAAAGAAGAACATATATGTGGTTGATTGGAAAACTACACAGGATGGAGTATGCCTGATAGCCAATGGAGAATCAAAACTAAGTTGGGACTGGCACAAAAAGCTTAGCCATTTGAATTTCAAAACAATCAACAAACTGGCAAGAGAACACATTGTTGATGGACTGCCAGACATAGTATACAAGAAAAAGACCCTCTGCAGTGCATGCCAGAAGGGAAAACAACAGAAGAACTCTTTCAAACTCATTGCTGGAGATCTCTCTACAAGTCCTTTAAATCTGATTCACATGGATTTATTTGGACCGCTTGAGACTCCAAGTGCTGGTGGCAAGAAGTACACCCTAGTCATGGTTGATGACTACTCCAGATATACATGGACAATCTTCTTGTCAAAGAAAAATGGAACTCTTCAGAAGTTGCCCTCTCTGTTAAAGCAACTTCAGACTGAGAAGAATTTGAAGGTCAGGACAATCAGGTCTGACAGAGAAATTGAATTTGTCAACCAAGTCATAAAGGACTTCTGTGATCAAAATGGAACCTTTCATCAACTCTCTGCCGCCAGAACACCTCAACAGAATGGCGTAGCAGAAAGGAGGAACAGAACGTTGAAAGAAGCTGCAAGAACAATGATTGCAAAATCTGGATTACCAATGAGATACTGGGTTGAAGCAATCAACACTGCATGCTACACCCAGAAGAGAAGTATGATCAACAAGAATCACCAGAAGAACCCTTATGAACTATGGAAAGGAAGGAAACCCAACATCAGTTACTTTCATGTATTTGGATGCAAATTCTACATTCTCAACAATGGAAAGGAGCATCTGAAAGTTTTTCAAGAGAAAGCTGATGAAGGTATATTCATAGGCTACTCAAGCACCAGCAAAGCCTATAGAGTACTCAACAGAAGAACTCTACATGTTGAAGAATCTATACATGTAAAGTTTGATGATAGCATCTCTGTTGAAGAAGTAACAGAGACTCTCAAGGAAGTCAACCTAGATGACAGAACACCTGAACCAACAGAAGAGGTAGCAGTCAATCCAGTATTCCCAACACCTGCACCAAACCCCCTTCTGTTGAATGAAGATGAAGATTCAGAAGATGAGGAACCGGAGAGACCCAGATAGCAACTGACAGAACCTGTGTTGGTCCCGGTTGTACTGGATACAGTCTAGAGGGGGGTGAATAGACTGTATTGGTTTTTAACTTTTTCAAGCTAAGTACCAGATTTAAAAGAATAGCCTGTTCTGTTGGTAGAACAGACTGGCAGCGGATGGGGTTCTGGTAGGCAGTTCTGTTAGAAGCCTCAGGGAAGCAAACGCAGTAGGCCTTCTGTTAACTCACAAGACACGTTCTGCTGAACACAGATACCAAGTCTTTGGAGTTAAGCACTTCAAATAAAAGTAATGAAAGTAATGCAGTAAGTAAATGACACCAGGGCTTTTTATAGTGGTTCAAGGAACAACTTGTTCCTCTAGTCCACTGTTCCACTAAGCTTGTAAAAACGTCCGTTTACAATGCCTTAGCCCTATCACTTAAGAAGCTCTCCACGTCTTCTTCAAGTGTAGATGTCTTCTTGGATGCACTTCCGGCTTCCCTAAGACTGGTCCTTTCACTGAGCTTTTCCTAGAAGTATCACCACTTCACTGCTCCAGGTATTTGGACATCCTTCTTGTGAAAGAAGAGGTTCTATTTAGAACAGAGGCTCCTCCAACTTGCTTCGTTACAAAGAGTTTGTATGTGATGAGCTTGAAGAGTTGAAGAACACTTAGAACTTTGCTTAAGTTGGAAATAAGGATTTTCCAACCTCTGCCTTCTCTTGTGGAAGATGATGAAGTTTTAATCTCAAGGAGGCTTTTTGCGTTTTTAGTGTTTGAATATCTTGTATGCAAAGTTGTAGCAAAAGTTGTTGCAAAGTTATCCGGTTGTTCTTCGTAGTGTATCTTTTATACTGCGGTTGTCTTCCCGTTGGAGGAGAAGGAGGACAACTGCATTAAATGAGCGAGAAGTTGACTTGACCAGTAGGACTCGGTAAAGTTGGCGGGTTAAATTGCTTGGGTACCAACTACCCAGACTCCATGACCCACCAGGACCCAGCATTGCTTGGGTACCTAAATATTTCTTTTGATCTTGTAGGAGCTGTGTGCTGGAGCTATCTCAGAGCAAGAATGGTTTATTGATAGTGGATGCTCCAGGCACATGACAGGTGAAAGAAGTTGTCTAACTGAGTTCCAGAAATGCAAAGGACCTAGAGTTACCTTCGGAGGTAATGACATAGAAGGTCAAACAAAAGGAAGAGGGAATCTGATTAAGAACCAGATAGTCATTGATGATGTCTCATATGTCAAAGGACTGAAGTTCAACTTGCTAAGTGCTAGCCAATTCTGTGACAAAGGCTACATTGTTGAATTCACAAAGGACTTCTGCTATGTGAAGCATGAGACAACAAAAGAAGTGGTTCTTACAGCATCAAGGAAGAAGAACATCTATGTGGTTGATTGGAACACAGCAAAGGATGGAGTTTGCCTGATAGCTAAGGGAGATTCAAAACTAACACTACTAGAAAACTGCCTTACATTGACACTTCGTTAATGAAACTATTCGATTTAGTGTCAAAAACTGACGATATAACCGAAAGTTTACACATAAGTATCACTGATTTCTCATACAATAATATCACCATTCATAGTGACGCTCGAGCTTAAAAAAACGGGGTCATATTCATAATTTATTGAAATGTTTTTTTGAAATGGGGTCTATTTTCTAAATTTTTAAAGTTTATATTTGTAAATCTTAGTAAATCTCAAACTCTTAATTGACCCAGCCCTTATTCTCCTTAACCTAGGTCTGCACTCTCCCGTGAAGAAGAGCAGCGCTGCAGCCGTAAGTCCTTAATCCACTACATCGAAGGTAGCAACGACGAGCTGACGACCTTGAGCTTCAGGGATAGGCGGCAATAGCGGCTTCAAGAGGATGAACTTCCGGAGATGAGCAAGATTCTTTAGCACTCAGCTTCGTTACTAATCTTCTGGCCTGCAGAATTAGTCTTCAGCACTCCGGCAACGGCGCCACAAGGGTATTTTAATGCTGTCTAGGTTCAATGGACAAAATTAGTATATTTTAATGTTGTCTAGGTTTATTTTGGTCTTACTCCGTATTTGATTTTTTATCTGATTATGAATGATGATTTTCTCTGGTCTGGTGGAAGTTTTCTAGTTAAAAAAATTATTTGAATCTCCATATCTACTTACTATGCACCTCAACTTTCTCTCCTAACAGATATGAATTCCATCAATATTCGGTTCGATGTTCTAGATTCATTTTCTTTTGTATTTCTCAATTTTTAAACAAAATTATGTTTCATCCTTCTCTCATGGGGATATTGTACTTTTCATGTGTTTAGCTGTCCACAAATCATATCAGATTTGCTCCGGATCTGGTTTGGTTCACCAGTGGAAGTATATAAGGGTGCTTTGTATTGTCGTTTTTAATTTTTTCCTCTTTCTATCTTGAATATCAACCTTTATCTTCCCCATTTTCTATCTCAGTTCAAGCCGACAAGAAACACTTACCCCTTCGCTTCCATCTTGTAAGTTTCTATCTATTCTTTCACTCTTTCATGTATTTTACATGTTTTCATTTTCATTAAATCTTTTGAATATAGTTACTTCTAGAGTTGGGTATTCTATATCTACATGACTACATACATGTATGTGCAAAGCAAATTCTAAATCTTAAATATGTGTGTATAAACTTTTTCAAACAGAAACATTAGGAGTTTCTTTCCATTGTAAGTTCGCGATTTATCAATTTTCAGAATTTACTGTGTAGGTAAACTAGTTTTTGCTTAACTAGATCAACTCATTGAAGGTGATGTTGTGTAGGTTTTTGTTGAACTGAAGTGTTTCATTTGTGAAATGATTTGTGTCAAAGATGAAATCATTCTTTTGATTCTTGGTATATATGATCTCTTTCTTCATTTTTATTTTTATTGCTCTTTACTAATTCTTCTCCATCCCTTAAGTCTAAAGAATTGAGGTCACTCTTTGATGTGATTATAAATTTCTCCGGTTCTACATTACACATACCAACGTTTGTAATTGCTTTCTCAAGCAGCTTGATCAGACTTTGATACCTAACTTAGATGTATTTGACATTCAATTAAAAGAAGTTTATCTAGATTGGTGTTGTTCGAAGAACCAACAATTACATACTATACTGCTAGGTAAAGTTTTAGTTAAAAAGTTTATGCAATTATCGTTTTTTACAATGCAAATAAGTTGTTAAGTTTGACATGTTGAAATTTACTCTCTGCTTTTTCATTGTAGGCCAGTTCAACTAATTAATAATCCTTGAACCTGTTGCGAGAGTGCTTTAATAATCCCAATGTTGAATAATATTTGGATGAAACCCTGGAACATATGTGCATCTTATGGTCAGTATGCATTCAGGTTGAGTTAGTGCTTATGCTCTAGTGCTACTCATTTGTATTGGTGTACATTTAATAAATTACAACAAGAGTTTAAGTACTGAAAAATAGAGCATGCCATTTTTATTTATTCATTGAGTTGGGAATGTATCAAGTTGAATTGATAACTTCTTGATTATTTATGCCACTGTATAATGATGGGGCTTAATAACATAGAAATGATACCAGCCAGTGAAGCTGGTGGAATCAGAGGTAAAGCATTAAAGACTATTTTTGTGAATACTTGAGTAAAGGTGGTGTTGGAAAATCTTCAACTGTGAATTCAATCATAGGGGAAAGAGTAGTTACTGCTGGAGCTTTCCAGGTATCTACTTAGTGAATTAAATAGATAAGAATTAAAAAAATAACTTTCAGACTTCTCCTTTAGTTGTAGGAAGAAACTCCAATTATTTCAGCACTTCTTACATGCTATCTTAGCTTCTTTGTTTTTATGTTGCAGCAGGATGTTTATTGTTTTTCTACTTTTTGTGTCAGGAGCACATGTCTTGACAACCGGAAAAAGGGAGTATTAACATTTTTGTTCCTCCAATATTCTCAAGATTGTGTTCACACTAATTTCAAAGCCTTTAAGTAGTTACTTTCAGGTCCGTAAACAATGAAGGCCCTTATGATAGTTCAAATGATACCCAAGTTGTAAATGTTCAATCTGCCAATCCTATAGCCACAATAGCCCCAACAAATTGTGACATGAATTGTGCAACTATTCTTGATAAGGAAACGACTGATACCTCTGCTCGCCAACGCCACCGTGCCTTCAAACATGATGAACCCTCGGTGGCTACCTGTAACAAGGCGGTAACCGGGAATGTAGCTCATGATCTAATTACGTGTGTCCAAACCGGAAATCAAGATCTTCTTTCTAATCCTATCACTCCAGATACTACACCGGCCCCAAAATTGTCCTGTGATGAAATCATTTCTGAGGATAGCCTATTTTTAACTCTTTCTGTTTCAGGTAATAAAGTAATCCCACCTGCGAGAGTTTTTAATTTAAGAGGTTCAATAGGTCCAGAAAAACTCTCATTCTCACATTTTTTTGCTTATACTTGACAGTGGAGATGCCAAGTGTACTGCTTATGGCAGCTGTATGCAATGTCCAAATTGTATGATTTTAGTTATTATTATAACATATACTAGCTTATTAGTAATTTAGTAACATATACAGCAAACCAACTCAATAAGTAAGTTGAAATTTTATTTATTGAGATAAGTGTGTTAAGAATGTAGTTTTCACTAATTAGGATTGTCTATAATATGATGATTGAAATAGTTATCATTATTATTTTTACAGACTTCAGTGACGGTGTGATGAACAGTGCTAGCTGGATTTTTGCTAAGCTCGTATGCATCATGGCGGTTAAACAAATGGCTGGAAGGACATAACATTTGGATGCTTGTGATGTACTTTATGTGTTTCCAGAACCTATGTAATGACTACTTTATGTTTGCAGCCCTATGTAGCTAGACTAAAATCCAAGAATATTGGTATTTTGGATTTTGCTTTGTTTCCAAGAACAAGTTAACTTATCTTTGAATTTTCATGTTCACTTTGATTTGAATCTAAATGACAATTAGTTAGTTATGGGATACTTTGATTATGAATTTGTTTTATATTTGTCTACAAGCTTGAAAATTAAACTTTTAGGTGGATATGATGGTACAAAAAAAGTATTAAAATTGTTCAATAGTTGATACTATAGTATCATAAATCTGGATGGCGCAAGAGTATCATAGGTTTTTGTAACATTAGTGATATCACTAATTTATATGATATCAAAGTGTCGTTAAGTATAACAATGCAAATGTATCACTATATTTTATGATACTAACGTGTCACAATTTACTGATACTTTTTAGTGACACATTTTTTAGTGTCAGAGTTCCAACCATTCGTTGACACTTTTCTGGTGTCACTAAAACTTTTAGTGACACTAATTTAGTGTCACTATAGACCATTTTTCTACTAGTGTAAGCTGGGACTGGCACAAGAAGCTTAGCCATTTGAACTTCAAAACAATCAACAAACTGGCAAGAGAACACATAGTTGATGGACTGCCAGACATAGTTTACAAGAAAGAGACCCTCTGCAGTGCATGCCAGAAGGGAAAGCAACAGAAGAACTCTTTCAAACCCATTGCTGGAGATGTTTCTACAAGTCCTTTAAATCTGATCCACATGGATTTATTTGGACCTGTTGAAACTCCAAGCGTTGGTGGCAAGAAATACACTCTAGTCATGGTTGATGACTATTCCAGATATACATGGACTATCTTTCTGTCAAAGAAAAATGAAACTCTTCAGAAGTTGCCATCTCTGTTAAAGCAACTTCAGACTGAGAAGAACTTGAAGGTTAAGACAATCAGGTCTGACAGAGGAACTGAATTTGTCAACCAAGTCATAAAGGACTTCTGTGATCAAAATGGAACCTTTCATCAACTCTCTGCCGCCAGAACCCCTCAACAGAATGGCGTAGCAGAAAGGAGGAACAGAACATTAAAAGAAGCTGCAAGAACAATGATTGCGGAATCTAGACTACCTATGAGATATTGGGCTGAAGCAATCAATACTGCATGCTATACTCAGAACAGAAGCATGATCAACAAGAATCACCAGAAGACTCCTTATGAACTCTGGAAAGGAAGAAAACCCAACATCAGTTACTTCCATGTGTTTGGATGCAAGTGCTACATCCTTAACAATGGAAAGGAGCATCTGAAAGTCTTTCAAGAGAAAGCTGATGAAGGTATCTTTATAGGCTATTCAAACACCAGTAAAGCCTATAGAGTACTCAACAGAAGGACTCTACATGTTGAAGAGTCTATACATGTGAAGTTTGATGATAGCACCTTTGTTAAAGAAGTAACAGAGATCCTCAAGGAAGTCAGCATAGAAGACAGAACACCAGAACATACAGAAGAGGTAGCAGATAACCCTGCATTTCCAACACCTGCACCAAACCCCCTTCTGTTGAATAAAGATGAAGACTCAGAAGATGAAGAACCAGAGAGACCCAGACAACAACTGACAGAACCTGATCTGACATGGTTAAGAGACCATCCTCCTAATAAAGTTATTGGGCATATCAGAAGTGGTGTGCAGACCAGATCAGCTTCAACAAGGAGAGAAGCAATGCTTGCCTGCTATATATCTCAGATGGAACCCATCACTGTGGAAGAAGCTCTTGCAGACTCAGATTGGATCAATGCAATGCAAGAAGAGCTGACTCAATTTGAAAGGAACAAAGTATGGGAACTTGTTCCTAGGCCAAAGCACCAGAAAGTCATTGGAACCAAATGGGTATTCAAAAACAAAGCTGATGAAGATGGCAACATTGTAAGGAATAAAGCAAGGCTGGTAGCTAAAGGTTATTGCCAAGAAGAAGGAATAGATTTTGATGAGACTTTTGCACCAGTTGCCAGACTGGAAGCCATCAGAATATTTCTAGCCTATGCTGCCTACAACAACATCAAGGTCTACCAGATGGATGTCAAAAGTGCATTTCTGAATGGAGATCTTGAAGAAGAAGTTTATGTGGAACAACGACCAGGTTTTGTCATTCCTACTCACTCTTCTTGTGTCTACAAGCTTAAAAAGGCCCTCTATGGTCTTAAGCAAGCTCCCAGATTATGGTATGACACATTGTCCCTTTTCCTAGTGAACCATGGGTTTACTAAAGGAAAGGTTGACAAAACTCTATTTCAAATCTCTGTTGCTAATCATATTCTGTTAGTACAAATATATGTTGATGATATTATATTTTGTAGTACTAATCCAGAACTGTGCAAGAAATTTTCTCAAGTGATGCAGAGTCAATTTGAAATGAGTATGATGGGAGAACTCAGCTACTTCCTAGGACTACAAGTCAAACAAGTTCCATAGGGAATCTTTATCAACCAAGGGAAGTATACCAGAGATCTGTTCAAGAAGTTTGGAGTGGAAGGCAAATCCTCAGTGAAGATTCCCATGAACACCTCACACGGAATTGGTCCACATGATGAAGGAAAGGATGTCGATGCAAAAACCTACAGAGGAATCATAGGATCTCTGCTGTATCTGACTGCAAGCAGACCAGACATTTCATTCTCTGTTGGAATCTGTGCCAGATACCAATCAAAGCCCAAGGAGAGCCATCTTAGTGCTGCAAAGAGAATCATGAAATATATCAAAGGAAATCCAAATGCAGGCCTATGGTATCCAAAGGGAGGTAACTTTGAACTAATTGGTTACTCTGACTCAGATTTTGCAGGTTGCAGATTAGACAGGAAAAGCACCTCTGGTCACTGCCAAATGCTAGGAGGAAGGCTTGTTTCCTGGTTTAGCAAGAAGCAGAACTCAATCTCAACAAGTACATCTGAAGCTGAATACATTGCAGCTAGGAGTTGTTGTGCTCAGCTACTCTGGATGAAGCAACAGCTGAAGGACTATGGCATTCAAGCAAAGGAGATCAAGTTGTTGTGTGACAACAGCAGTGCCATTGCCATCACTCAGAATCTAGTTCTTCACTCCAGAACAAAGCACATTGAGATCAGACATCACTTCATCAGAGATCATGTTGAAAAGAAGCACATATGCATGGAGCATGTGCCAACAGAAGACCAGCTTGCAGACATTCTGACAAAGCCTCTTCCTGAGGCTAGATTCAACAAACTGAGAGAGGAATTGGGAATGATGGATGAAATTCCAAGAGAAAGTTGAAAAGGAAGGCCCTCTGTTGCAAAATCTCTTCTAACAGAATACCTATTGCAGAACCCCTTCTGTTAACCCCTTCTGTTCCTTATTCCGAACAGAGAACCTTCGCTCCTGACAGAACAACTCAGCAACAGATAACCCCCCCCCCCCTTCTTTTTATCCTCTGAAAACCGTACCGGTAACCGAAAGTTGTGGACTTAGAATATTTTGAAAACCAGGTGACCTAGTAACTTATTAACGGTCTTTTACCCTTTTACCCTTAAAACGGTATTTCAGCCGCACAATATTTACTGCGCCCCCATTTTCATTTATTGGTACCTCGAAACCGTAAATGATCTCAAGCGTCCACTAACCCGTACCCATATATTCCCGTCTCTCAAACCTTAACCGCTACTGCTCTCAATATCCTCAAACCCTCAAACCTCCATAGCCCTCAAGCTTCCAAAACTCGTTTATTTTGCTCTCATAGCTCCCATCAACTTCAACTCACTCCCAAAGAATCAACAGGAAACCCTAACCAAAAATGTCCTCACGGGGATGAAATGCGACCTATTCGCACTCCCTAGACTGGCTGAAGATGAGTCACTGATGAAGCTCATAGTGGAATGCATCAACGACTCCCAACTGGAAAAGGTCATCTCCTACAACTACACTCAGTACAGTTGCATTGAAGTGGTTGAGTTCTATCTCAACGCTAACTTTGAGGATGAGGTCATCACCTTTACTGTGAATGGAGAGCAAATCGCCATTGATGCTGGGGCCATCAATAGTCTCTTCCAGATTGTGGCTGTCAACGAATCCAGCGGTTTCCTTGACCTGGAAGATGCTAACCTCACTGCTGAGGAATTTGCCATGAACTATGGCAGACCTGGGGCCAACCTTCCAAAACTGACCGGGAAGAAACATTCTCTAAAAAGGGACATTAAACTTCTAGTGAATATCCTTCACAGATGTGTATGGTGCAGATACACATCCACTGATGAGTTCACCATCTCGCAGGCCAAGGCAGTCTATGTTGTGATGCACAAGGCAAACATCAACTGGGGCCAAGTGATTGTCCGGTCCATGATAGAGTTTGTCAAGGTGGCCAAGAGAAAGAGCAAGGAGACGAGGATCAACTCTGGGAAGGTAGGTCATGCTCTCCTCATTTCTGAGCTTCTAGTGGGGAGAACTAGGCTCAGGAAACCAACTCTGGTAGATCACTCCAAAGTGATCTTTCTCTCATCTACCAGCAACAGAGAAACAGCTATAAGAGCTGAAGTCAAAAGGTTAGCCAAGCTAGACCTTAACAGACAGAAGCTTCAACAGAGACCCTCCCAACAGAATACCTCCAGCAGCTCTGAGGAAGCACCTCTGGTGAGAAAAGCTGTGAAGAAAGCAGTTACCAAGAAAGCTGCACCAAAGAAGGTCAAGAAGGTGTTGACTCGGAAATCCAATCCCAAGAGGAAGATATCCTCTTAGAATCCAGATCTTCTACCCCTTCTGCACCCCCAGCTGCTAAGAAACCGAAAGTCAGTACTCCTATCCCCATGATTGACTCAGAAACTCAGGGGGAACAACCAACAGAACCTGCTCTACCCCTTCAAGCCAAAAGCTCTCTATGGCAAGGGAAGAAAATCACCTTCGAATCTAGTGACTCCAAGAGTGAGTCAGTGGAAAAGGTTGCTACATCTCAGGGGGAATCTGATACTTCTGTCAAGTCTGCACACATGACAGAAGACCATGGAGCTGCTCACTCTCCAGAACACCTAACACCC